TCTACCCGGTCGGGTCAGGTGAAGGGGATCAGTGTTAGAAGGTGAGCCCGCAGATTGACAAATTACATGTCCTTTTGATGTTGTAATGTATTCTTTCTTGTTCCTCTTAATTTTTCACTCACTCAGTAATATTTCCTTTTGTTTACTTACTGCACTTTTCATCTACTCACTCATTGACCGATTACATGAATGTGCATTAGAATTCTTGCTTGTATTCAGTTAATGCAAATCTCATACCCTATGGTTTCCTCTTTTAGAGTATATTATATTAATTCTACYTGACCAACTATCAAATCCTAAGTTGCACTCAAACGTGTCCAACAATGACAATAGCTCTCAGCTAAGGATGGGTTCAATATAACAAAGGATGTATATACACTTGAAAACCTGAATCAAGACTCAATGCCCACCGAACTTGCGTATAGATGGATGACATGACACTTGTACATATGTTACACATGAGATATTGCATCGTTTATCTAACATCTCTCACAAAGACAAAGACGAACCCTACTGAGGTTAACAAGGATCTTCCTAAGTTTTCTTTTTCGTGGTTGCTTCTCTCTTTCAACAGTCACTTGCGTTGCTTCTTCGTTTGTGGTTCTGTCTGCAGCTCTCCCTACAAATGTTAAGATACACAGTTTAGAGTCTGGATACGACGGTACAGACAAAGTAGTAATATGCGTCGGTATGAACCATATTGGTTGCTAATGCTTTTAGTTATCCCTGGCTTTGAAAGTAATTAATAACTATTAAATTAAAACCCAAAAAAAAGAGGAATTGAAAGGGAGTGTGCTCACAACAATAGAGAGCTGCTCACGGATATAGGCCATTGATCTCAACATGGCACCTAGTGTATCCCGGGACACCTGAAACTTGACCTCTGACTCTCCTGTTGTTGTCTCAGTATCTTGAAGCTGGAGTCAAAATAATCCACAAACAAAAAATTAACACAGTTTAAACACTTTAGTTCATTTAAGTTCCTAATATGGGAGTAGGACACCAATCTCGGTAATTGCCAAAGAGCGCCACACATCAAACAAGCAAAATCCGTTTTCACATGAAATAATGCATCATGAAAGAAGATGGTAGTTTTCATGTAGTTTAAAAAGCCAAGTTTAAAATACATCATTGCGGGCACAAGTCTAGAGTCTAAAAAGCATACCTTCAAGTTGATGACAGCCACTTTATTGGCTGGAGCTGAGAGTTGCTCACTAATGTAAGCCATGGACCTTAACATAGGTTCAAGTGTGACGCTAGACAGCTGAAATTTGACCTCCATATCTGCCGAGGGAAACTTTCTGTAATCGTGCAACTGAAAACATCATGAAAAAGAATCATCACTAAAGTGGTCGCATACAATTTTGCAGGAAGCAAGAAGCAACAAGACCATTGATGAACACAAATTTGATATCCTACATTATAGTAAGGAAGGAAAATTTAATTTGTCACAAAGGCCAATATCTATTGTTCAATTCTTCAGTATCATGATGCTTACAAATATCTTATATCTTTTCGATGTAATCATCACATCAGACCAACTTTCAGCAAAAGTTGATAACTGCAGAACCCAAACAGAAAAAAGTTACTGGTTCATATAATGCACACCTTTAAATTTATAACTGCAACTCTACCACCCGGCACTGTATTCTTACTCTCCATCACCCAAGTCATTGACTTGAGACAAGGAAGAGCTACCTATAAGGCAAAGCACGTCAACTTACCACCAAACAGTAAAAGGATAAATAAATAAGTTTTGGAAAGGTTCCCTCCTGATACCATATTCTCAGGAGCACCATCATCTCGGTGAAGAGACACTGGTGCCATACGCGGCAGATTCAGATCATCAACAGATTGAGCTCTAGCGCCACCATCGTTAAGATTAAATCTGCGTATCATTTCATCCTGACGCGGCCACAACAAAGGGGTTGTTTCAGAAGCTGATAGTGAGGTTTCACCATCACCACCATGTGAGCTAGGAGGTGCAGCTCTACCTACATTTTTCCTGACAACTGAAACCTTCTTCCCACCTTCTCTGAGTGCCCCTAAAGCAATATTATAAGTTTCAGTTGTTATTGCCCCTTCCTCGGCAAACTTAATGGCCTCGCGACATAGATGATTATAGCGGCGTATCAAGCTATCATGCCCATTTTCACTGACATGCTCATCCAACCCTGCCATACTCTTGGCATTTCTTGTCCACCGTCTCAGAATATAATGTGGTGGCAAAGTGAGTATATTTGTGACAGTAAACACTGTCAAAACATGTCGGCAGAGTATGCCAGAATGCTCAAACATTTGACAGCTGCAGTTTGCTCTCATCTCGGGATAGCAAAAAGTCACTATATAAGCTTTGTTGTCATTTTCAAATTTAGCAACCCTAAATGTGCTGGTTGTACCATTATCATCAACTCTATTTGCAATGTAAGCGAATGTCTCTACCAACTCTTCCTGAAATTTTGCAAATATTTTCCGTGTAAAGAGATTTGCAGCCTGATTCTCCATGGGTGAAGGCGTCTTCAAGACTGGAGGCGTGTTGACAGTGTCGAGATCTGCTTCGATCTCCATCTCAAACCAGCTCTCCATTGCCCTTTCATACAGCCTAAAGAACATCGGAAGGGTTGTCTGCTGAGTGACACATCCATCAAAGAAAGAACCCGGATAACCTTGGCCGGGAAATACTGCAGCAAAAAAGGAATCCCGGAAAAAAACAGGTACCCACTGAGCTCGAGCATTATATAAAGAAGTAAGCCATTCATGTCTTCCTAAGTCATACTTTTCAATGATGGAAGTCCATGATGATTCAAACTCTTCTATCGTTTCGGTGAAGTTGATACAACTATATAGCTCCACCTGAAAACTGGGATACGCAAGACACACATGAGCCAGCTTTTCCTGACCTTCTCTTAGCACATCCCACTTATTAATACAGTGACGAGCACCTGGAAATACCTGAGCAACAGCAATCTGTATGGCTCTATCTTGATCAGTTACCAAAGAGACGGGCGGTTGATCTCTCATTGCTGTCAGAAAAGTCTTGAATAGCCAAATAAAAGAAGTGTCTGACTCGTCCAAAATAAGTGCACAGCCAAATAGGATGGTATGACCATGATGATTCACCCCAGTAAACGGGGCAAAAGGAACCCGGAACTGATTGCACCTGTATCTCGTATCTAGGGTGACTGTGTCGCCAAAATGAGTATAAGCAATCCGAGATCTCGAATCTGCCCAGAATACATTTGTCATCTGATTATCTTCATCAAGCTGAATCGCATAGAAAAAACCAGGGTTCTCGGCCTGCATCCTCTTGAAATATTCCAACAGATTATGTGCATCTCGTCCCATAGTTCTCTTTGCGTTTGAAGACGCATTTCGAGCTCCTCTGTTACTAGATTCCAAGGGAACGCGATTCCCATCCATAGAAACATACATCATACCGCTAGGCACATTCACCCCTTGTTGACAGTTACCGGGTACAGCAGATATTTCAGAATTGGCAAAATGCCTACGAGGACGAAGACAGTGGAGTGTACTAGGAGTTCCCAAGACATGAGTATGGTCTTTAACAAACTTAGTGACAAGCCATTTACCCCCACCCTTCATTTCTATCCTAAGCATTGCATCACAGGTTTCAGCAGGCCTTCTTTTCGACCTTTTGCTACAACAAACGAATTCCCGAGCAGTAACGGAGGAGCCATCGGGTTTAGGAAGGGGCTTGGAAGTAAAGGCAAGCTGCCTGGAATACTCGTCATAGAAAGATTTGGCGTCTTTTTCAGAGTTAAACTCCATGCCAACACATGGCTCTGCAATTCCACCATCAACTTCAACTCCCAAGGAATTCTCCATGTTACTGCAGTCATCTCCAATCCCACGACCTTCCTCAACCAAATGAATATCCATCTTCTCACTTGCGTTTTGCCATCTTCTCGCTTGGAGAAAGTTGCGACTAATTGATCTACGGTCTGCAATACAACTAGGGTTTTGAGATCGACACAAGCTAGAAGAACTAAGGTAGGTTTGGAAACGAAACCACAGCCACAGGGGAAGGAATGCGAAAGGAAGAGAGGAAAATCGAAGGAAGCTTACCGAAGAGAATGATTCATCGGAAGAATGAGCAAGTTCGAAGAGAGAACACGGCGCTGCGTTGAGGACGACCCAGAAATTCGGTGAGGTTTAAAGCCAAAACAATTACAATCTCCGGCGTCAAACTATTTAGGGCTCCAATTTTTTTTTTAATGATGTGCACATTTTGGTATTGTCTCTCTACTAATTACATTTTACAATTCTGGCTACTGTTCAACGGAAAAACTAGAAAAAGTCACAACAGATTCAAAAGTAAGAGATAACACGAGACAATCAATATACGATAATCTGTGGTTCAAAAGGGTGACATAGAAACAATTGTGCAATATGATAAATATGACTGAGAATTCACTAGATTGACCAAAATAATCAAACAAAGTTTTATCGAATTTAACATTTGGTTTTGAACGGCATAGGTTTAACATTTTAGATTCATTATTGAATTTATTTTGTTCACTATATGCCATTTACTATCCATTGAACAACCTACAACTCAATACACAACATTGAGAACTCTAATTCTAATAGGGGGATTTTGAGAAATACCCTAAATTTTAATGAAAATTTGAAAAATATGCTTAATCTTATAAAGTTGGAAAAATATACTTTTTGTTACGTAAAAGTACGTAAATACCCTTATACATATTTAACATGCTAAATAACTTAAAAATAATTTAAAATTATTAAATTCAAA